GAGAGGGGATATGATAGCCATGTATAAATATGTGAGAGGAAGCCACAGGGAGGAGGGAGCAAGCTTGTTTTCTGCTTCCCTGGAGACTAGGATGCAGGAACAATGGCTTCAAACTACAAGAAAGGAGATTCCATCTGAACATGAGGAAGAACTTCCTGACTGTGAGAGCCGTTCAGCAGTGGAACTCTCTGACCCAGAGTGTGGTGGATGCTCCTTCTTTGGAAGCTTTTAAACAGAGGCTGGATGGCCATCTGTCAGGGGTGATTTGAATGCAATATTCCACTTCTTGGCAGGGGGTTGGACTGGATGGCCCATGAGGTCTCTTCCAACTCTTTGATTCTATGATTCTATGATTTTAATTAGCTACGCCAGGTTATTTACAAAAGGAAAAAGGGTATTTCCAAAAAAGGAGTAGAAAAGCTGCTATGAAGTAGCAGTACTACATATATACAAAAGATCAATAGTCCTTATATACAAAAAGATCAATAGTCCAAACTAGCAAGGTACATGAAACCCAGGAAATCAAGAACATAGGCATAAATCCATCAGGAAAAGAGTAAAAACTTGGCTTTTTGAACAAGCATTTGGAAATGAAGCGAAATAAATAATTACGAAATAGGAAGAATGAACATGGAATGGCTAGACGATGCTGCTGGATAATGATTTTAACAGGACGATACTGTTAATTATATGTTTTTAATGGTTTTATATGGTTTTTATAATATTAGGTTGAATGTTTTAACTGTATTTTTATAAATGTAGGGCATCAAATTCTGCCAATTCTGTAAGCGACCTTGAGTCGCTGTAAGGCTGAGAAAGGTGCGCTACAAATGCCGTAAATGAATGAATTAATAATAAGCATGAAAACAGGAACTTTTCCAAGGGAAAACTCTTTCAGGAACATAGGCAAACACAGGAGACAGAAAATACATTTATGCTTTATACACATAGCTAGAAGGTACTTTTATGCACCATTTCAGTTTTTATATGATTTGTACCTGTTTCAGCCTTTGAGAGGCATTGAAAAACTTCCTCAAAATATTCCAAAAATAGTCCAAAAGCATGTTCCTTAAGTGCCAGGAAATCCTAATGAATAAAATCTTGTACTCACAATAATCTTTGAAGGATATATTCTATGCAAAATTGATATGTGATTTTTCTATGAGAAACACAGTTTTTATCTAGAGAAAACCACTTTATGAATTTATGAAATGTTCTAAAACACTATTGTCTCTGTGTATTAAACTTTTAATATTGTGATTAGATTAATTGAAATTTTATATGGCTATGTCTCAATTTTTGCTCCATTGCACTTTTTTAAAAATGTAATTCATCTTGAATCCCAATTTGGGAGAAATGGGATATAAATAAAGTTAAGGAAGGGAAAGGAGAAAATTATGAAAGTGTGCCAGTTCATACCTCTCTTTCAAATTTTCACTTAAAATTTTGAAGGATCAATTTAGAATTGCAGAGACGTGCTGTAACTGCAGGGGAGTTATTTCTATTTTAAAGAAAAAGTCAGGATGCTGTGGCTTCTTTTAGGTGTTTCTTTAATTAGCAATATTATTGGGTAGGTTCAATGTCTTTTGGAGGGTGAATGTATTTTGACATATAGATCTGATTTTTAAAGCTAGGCAGCAAAGAAGATGGCATTGTCCCATATTCCATGTGTAAAATTAACCCTTTCAACCACTGATTTTTGTTTCAATACTGCCAATGAGAGTATGACCCAACCAGGGATGTAATCCATCAATAAGTAATTTTAGCAATTTTCTTCTTGCTGCAAGAAAAATGTTGGAAGCCTATTCTGAATAATTCTGAGTACGATTTGCATGCGATCATTTTGCATAAAAACCACAGTTTTTGTGCTGTCGCACACTGGGCCTGTGCATAAGACTGTAGACAGGACATAAATTCTGTGTGCCCAACGGGACGCCGGGGCTGCCTCAGATTAAAGGCCCTTGGATTTCCTTAAAACAGAGTCTTTAGATTGCTTAAAGGTTCAACAAAGTTCTTTATTAATGAAAACAAACAGGTACTTTCAAGCTTTCGTAAACTATTGGCTCTCTCAATCTTGTCCACAGGGGACAGGCACTATCTTCATGACTGTATTTTGACTAATGGGGAAATCCTTAACCTCTTATCTGGGCAGTCTGTCTTTGCCTCTGTTGGCGTGGAGCCCCTACACCCAGTACCAACTGCTTCTGAGCTTCCGCGAGAGACCCTTACCAAGCAGAGCTTTGTAGACTTCCAGGGGAAAAAGAACTCAGGTTTCTGTGATGGCTGGCTGAAGTCCCTCAGCAAAGAAGCTGTAGGGTTGTATAACCCCGGCCAAGCTGTGGGCTGTATATCTCCCCGGCCAAGCCGTAGAAGACGAAGCTTTCTACAGGAGCTCTTGGTATTATGTCCTGCATGGAAAGCTTCTCTGTGTGGACTGAACCCAAAAAGGCTCCTATTCCCTCCAAAAACCCAAAAGGGGGCGGGACCAGGGAACCTAACTATAATTGACAGGTGGCTTGCCCTATGATTGCAGCCAAAAGAAGCCACCTATCTGCAGAGTCCCTGAAACTTGGGACTATAACAAACATTAAATGCAAAGCAAACAAAATTGGAGCTCCTGCTGCAGTCGTACCTGCACAGTTTTTCTTTTTTGTGCAAAAAACATGGTTTTCTATGCAAAACGATCATCTGCAAATTGTACTCAGAGTAAACCCTGAAGTATGGAAATTATTGTCAGTCCAAGATTCTTCTCACTGAAGTTTCTCAACACTCAAAACCACTTAACTAAAGTAGGCACAGTAAATCAGTGGAAGTGTTGGCTTAAAAAATTCCTGTTGATTTAAGAGGTTTATCGTACTTAGAGCTACTAATTGCATTTAAATAAATGAACTTTGGACACAGTACAACTTAACAACCATGTAGAAAGGAAAAGGTTCAGGCTGTATGTATCAAATAGTTTACTTGGAAGAGAGTTGCATTCATTTACATGGGATTTCTATTCGTATTAAGGCCATACCCGTAATAGGGAAACATATTTACTACTGTCAGTTTTAAAATACCTCACATTTGAGTTGGCAGAATATTTGCTGTACACAACGAGATGGAGAAATAGGGCAGCTTTTATAACAGGTAGGCAGCTTGTTAATAAACAGAATTTCACACAGCAGCAGCATGTTCCAGTATCGTGCCCACTTCCATGCAAAGCTACATGTAAAATGGCACAGACTTTAGTCTACATGGTGTCCTTTCCTCCTCTTTTACAGAATAACATTAAGTCAAAGCTAGGAAACATGGCTTTCTAAAATAAGCTAATAGTTCAGTTCCTATTAGATATAGGGCCTCATCCCTTGGGTGGGTGGGGACATAAAGTGGAGGTAATAATCTTCATAGGGTGCATCCAGACAGCCCCTTTATTGCGGTCACTCCCACAATAAAGAAGTTGCTGTCCAGATGACATCCTGGAAAATCCCAAATTAATTTGCTACAAACCAAGAAAACGCTGGTTTTTAGCAAATGAATTAGATAGTGGAAGTCTCAGGATAAACCCACTATTTCTGTTGTGTTGAGAAAACTATAGGAATACCCACCCCTTTGCCCAAAGCCCCCAAATCCCTTTGTAATGTAAAGAAAACTTACCTGACCTCCAGTACACTCTTGCAGCAGCTCTCCCAGCACATAGAAATGATGCACCAGGAGAATGGGGGAAGGTTTGGAGGCTTTGGGGGAGGGGGTAGGACTTCCAGATGTTCTCGCGGACCAGTCCCGTGATAGCATCTAGGCACCCACCACAGAAAGCATGCTTTTTCTAGGGTGGGTGTGGACAGGCCTCCAGGAGCATCCACGTTTTTAAAACGTGAATAGTCCTGGGATAACTGCCTGTATGGAACCACCCAGGCCTGTAGCGAGGGGGTGGTTGTAGGGGTTCAACCCCCCCCAAATGTTTAAGATTTTTTTTAAAAAAACCTGGTTTACTCATGAATTTTAACTGGTTAACCAAATCCCATGCTAAGTCTATGAGATGCAAAAAATTAAGAGTCCCTCCAGAACTGTAAGCACTATCTCAAGCAAATATTGACAATTTATTCACACTGTCATTATTTGCAGCAATAGCCGATGTAGTGAAGCAACCAAGTTGGGTGTGTGTGTGTTGAATGCTCTCATTAAGGAGGCCAGACTTGGTGGAGGTGGTTGACAGGGGCGGAGCTGCAGGCTATTGAAGGCTGCTCTGCCCCCTGCTGTGCTCTTTGCTTCAGCGTGAGCTAGGAGGCAGGTTTCAACCCCCCCCCTGAAATTTTCAACCCTCCCCGAAATTCTCAACCCCCCCTGAAATTTTCAACCCCCCCGAAATTTTCAACCCTCCCCGAAATTTTTTTCTGGCTACAGCCCTGGAACCACCCTCAGTATGGCATTCAGTGGCCTTCCATTTCCAATGACTTTATGGGATATCTACTTTTCCAGTCTCCTTGTTCCTTCTCAGGCTGGATCTACACTGTCACACAATGCAATTTTAACTGCATTGAACTACATGATATGGGTCTTGCTGGTCCTTTGTGTTCGTTTCAGCAGAACCAGAACTTTGAAAATGTACTTTCTGGGCCTACTTTTCCCACAATCCCTGGGCTATCATTCGCCATGGCTTGGGGATAGGGTTGCCAGACTGAAAATTAGAGAGATCTCATACACAACCTTCAATGGTTCTATAGAAGAGGCAAGTTCATCAGGTGTTGACATATCTGGTCAGAAGCAATATCTATTAGCCTTCCTCCGTTTGCACAACTATTAAAGTTTCAGGATCCATCTCCAGTTTTCACTCTGGCAACCATATTTGCTAAACTGTTGTCTTCAAAAGTAACTTTGCCAGGCTCTGATAATCACAAAAGCAATGCAGCACTAGACAGTTACACCAAGATGTCCAAAGAATTGAGAGCATCATAGTATTCATGCTAATTCGTTCCGCTTCTTTCTTTATCTCTCATTACTCTTTTCTTGTTCTCTTCCAGCTCTTCTTTATGCAACCATTTTCGGAAACGTCACCACCATTTTCCAACAAATGTATGCCAACACCAACCGCTACCATGAGATGCTCAATAACGTGAGAGATTTCTTGAAGTTGTATCAAGTCCCCAAAGGCCTTAGTGAACGAGTCATGGATTATATTGTGTCCACATGGTCCATGTCCAAAGGGATCGATACAGAGAAGGTATGACTGTGTTTGTATCTGTGAAACACTGACTGTTGATCATTTTAACCCAAAAGGCAACATTTCTCAACAGAGTAAGCAAGGGACGAAGTAATGTTACTATGTAGAATTTTATGTGTACTTATTATTTCTGAGAAATTATGATAGATAAGAAGCAACAAAAAGAGATCGGAATGGGCTCAGGACCCTGTGTTCTGCACTTTATGATTCCTGAGATTTCTGTTGGGAACAGAACTAAACAGCTGAGCTAACTAGATGGATATCTCTTTACTTCCTTCCTTCCTTCCTTCCTTCCTTCCTTCTTTCCTTCCTTCCTTCCAATCATAGAATCATAGAATCAAAGAGTTGGAAGAGACCTCACGGGCCATCCAGTCCAACCCCATTCTATCAAGAAGCAGGAATATTGCATGCAAATCACCCCTGACAGATGGCCATCCAGCCTCTGTTTAAAGCTTCCAAGGAAGGAGCCTCCACCACACTCCGGGGCAGAAAGTTTCACTGCTGAAGGGCTCTCACAGTCAGGAAGTTCTTCCTCATGTTCAGATGGAATCTCCTTTCTTGTAGTTTGAAGCCATTGTTTCGCGTCCTAGTCTCCAGGGAAGCAGAAAACAAGCTTGCTCCCTCCTCCCTGTGGCTTCCTCTCACATATTTATACATGGCTATCATATCTCCTCTCAGCCTTCTCTTCTTCAGGCTAAACATGCCCAGCTCCTTAAGCCGCTCCTCATAGGGCTTGTTCTCCAGACCCTTTATTATTTTAGTCGCCCTCCTCTGGACACATTCCAGCTTGTCAATATCTCTCTTGAATTGTGGTGCCCAGAATTGGACACAATATTCCAGGTGTGGTCTAACCAAAGCGGAATAGAGGGGTAGCATTACTTCCCTAGATCTAGACACTATGCTCCTATTGATGCAGGCCAAAATCCCATTGGCTTTTTTGCCGCCACATCACATTGTTGGCTCATGTTTAACTTGTTGTCCACGAGGACTCCAAGATCTTTTTCATACGTCCTGCTTTCGAGGCAGGCATTGTCCCCCATTCTGTATCTTTTGCATTTTGTTTTTTCTGTCTAAGTGGAGTATTTTGCATTTGTCACTGTTGAACTTCATTTTGTTAGTTTTGGCCCATCTCTCTAATTTGTCAAGATGGTTTTGAATTCTCCTTCCTTCCTTCCTTCCTTCCTTCCTTCCTTCCTTCCTTCCTTGACACAAGAATCTTCAGATCCATTAGTGTTGGACTTCAAATCATTTCTGACATATGGGGACTGTATTGGTCAAAATAAATTGAATGTATCTCCCTTTATGAACCACCTTGGAGGTTAAGCTCTTCTGGGGAGGCCTTGTTCTTGGTTCTACCTTCTTCGCAGGTATGAGAGACAGGGCCTTCTCAGTGGTGGCCCCTCGGCTATGGCACTCTCTCCCCAGTGAAATCAGATCAGCTCCCTCCCTCCTGACCTTTAGAAAGAAATTAAAAACGTGGCTGTGGGGCCAAGCCTTTGAACAGTAAATTCAGTGCAATAAGTGGATACGGAATAACTACAAATACGACCGGAATGGCTCTTGGATGTTGATTTTGGATTGTGTGGTTTTTAACAATGGTTTTAATGCTTAGATGTTTTTAACCTTTTGGTTTTTAATATATATATATGTTTATTTTATTTTATGTCTGTTTATGCAGCAGTGAATTGTTGCTTCCTTATAAGCCGCTCTGAGTCTTCTTTGGGGTGAGAGAGGGCAAGGTATAAATATAGTAAATAAATAAATGCAATGCTGTTTCTTTGCTCCTCCATTGGTCAACTCTGCTCATGCAGTCAGAAGCTTCTCTGTTGTGACAGACTAATCCTCTCACTCAGATTAGATGAGCTTCCAGTTTTCTAGTTTTTCAGTGAATTGCATTTCATGAATTTTTCTTTTTTGTTATTTCATTATTTTAACTTTTGGGTTTTTAGAACTGGAAATAGTTTTCAGATGTTTTAAAAAAAATGTAAAGTAGTAAAAAAAAGATTTCTAAATAAATAATGAGTGGAACTTGAGTAGACTAGAAAGGCTTTAGCATTTGGATGAATGTTACATGCTGTAAAAATGTAAAGTAGTATAAAAAGGTTCCTAAATAAATAATGAGCGAGTACCTTTGAAAAGTGTTCAGAAACTTTGGCTGTTCCAAAGGGCTGTGGCAAAATTGCTAACTGGAGCTGTGGCTAGCTACAGGAAGTATACCTGTTGCAAGAGCTCCACTGGCTGCCATTGTGTTTCTGGGCACATTTCATAGGGCTGTTAGAATCATAGACTCATTGAGCTGAAAGAGACCTCGTGGGCCATCCAGTCCAACCCCCTATCAAGAAGCAGGAAAATCGCATTCAAAGCATCCCAAACCGATGGACATCCAGCCTCTGCTTAAAAGCCTCCAAAGAAAGAGCCTCCACCACATATAATATACTTTATTTATATTCTGTTTTATCTCCCTGAGGGGACTCAGAGTGGATTACAGGAACATATATGGCAAACATTCGATGCCATTATACAATTGGCAAATGCAGACAGTACATATACAGAGGCAAGACATCTGGCTATGCACAACTTGGCCATGGAAAGGTGCTTTTGTTTCATTTTTCATGCCAAGAAGTCTGTTGTCCATGGACGCTTTTCCTGGTGGATTTTTGCTGGCATGTTTTTCAGGGTTCCTTTAGCCTTCCCGCCAAAGGTTGTTTTTTTTTGTCATCTCAGGAGCGACTTGAGAAACTGCAAGTCGCTTCTGGTGTGAGAGAATTGGCCATCTGCAAGGATGTTGCCCAGGGGATGCCCATATGTTTTGATGTTTTTACCATACTTGTGGGAGGCTTCTCTCATGTCCACGCATGAGGAGCTGGAGCTGATAAAGGGAGCTCATCTGCGCTCTCCCCGGATTCAAACCTGTGACCTGTTGGTCTTCAGTCCTGCCATACAGGGGTTTAACCCACTGCGCCACTGGGAGTACCTGCCAAAGTGGTACCTGTTTATCTACTTACTTTGTTGTTTTCAAATTGCTAGGTGAGCAGAAGCTGGGCGGACGATGGGATCTCATCATGACCCGGGCTTGAACTGCCAACATTTTGGTTGGCAGCATCTTCCATAGCTGGCGGTTTACCCAATGTGCTAGCCCAGATCTTTAAAGCACTATATGACCCTAAGAGAGGGCCTTCCCAGGGGCAGCCCCTTGACTCTAGAACTCTTTGACAGGGGATCATTACCATAGGCTCAAAATCTTGACTAAGTAGCAATTGTGAATGTGAAGCAGTCGTGGACAAGGAAATCTCGGTAACTGTTCTGTATTCATAATGGCAACTTACTGCATATACTCAGTAGAGTCATAGAATCATAGAGTTGGAAGAGACCTCATGGGCCATCCAGTCCAACCCCCTGCCAAGAAGCAGGAAAATTGCATTAGAAGCACCCCAGACAGATGGCCATCCAGCTCTAAATTAGGAACGATCCCCTTCTCTGAGTTGAGTGATATAAAGCAAGAATTTAGTCTGGCTGGAGAGAACCTAATGGAAGCGCCGATCGCCCTTTTCTCTATTTTGGATTTTGGAATGCCGGATAAAGGATGCTACACCTGCAGCTGGTTTATTCTTTCTAAACAGTAAGAAAGAATGAGATCATCACAATTGTAGTATTTAGCAGGATTTTGCTTCTTTGAGTTTTGAGAATGCAGACATTGCTCTGTTGCAGGCAATTGTTGTTTCAAAAAGAAGAAAAAAAAGCTCACAAGATTCTTTGCAAGAGGATTTATTACGCCGCGGTGCTATTCACCCCAGTCTCATATAGTATATTTCAGGCAGCAAAGTGTTCTATTATGAGAAGTATAATTCCCTTCTTTGCAATCTAAACAATAAAAGGAACTGAGAGGAATCTCATATGCCTGCAAGGAGAGAGAAAGAAAGAAAGAAAAATTCTATATTTAAACCTCTGCAGCAGAGTTCCTATGGCGACAGAATGCGATAACTGTACAGGAGGAATGTGAGGATATAAAAATAACAGCTAGCCAATATGTCATGACAGAAGTGTGTCATCTTAAAATAGTTTGTGTCCATGTGTCCACAAGTTTGTGTAGGAAGCCATGCTCTGGTTTGAAGAAGGAGACTATGAGCCTCTGGGCTTATTCCTCTTAATTGCCATCAAGTCCACTTTGACTAACAGAAACCTTATGAAAGAGAGATCAAATCATAGAATCATAGAGTTGGAAGAGACCTCGTGGGCAATCCAGTCCAAACTCCTGCCAAGAAGCAGGAAAATTGCATTCAGAGCACCCCTGACAGATGGCCATCCAGCAGCTCTAAATTAGACGCTACCCTTTCTCTGAGTAGAGTGATAAAAAGCAAGAGTTTAGTCTGAACAGCTCTCACAGTCAGGAAGTTCTTCCTAATGTTCAGATGGAATCTCCTTTCTTGTAGTTTGAAGCCATTGTTCAGTGTCCTAGTCTCCAGGGCAGCAGAAAACAAGCTTGCTCCCTCCTCCCTGTGACTTCCTCTCACATATTTATACATGGCTATCATGTTTCTTCTCAGCCTTCTCTTCTGCAGACCCTGCTCTTTAAGCTGCTCCTCATAGGACTAGTTCTCCTGACCCTCGATCATTTTAGTCGCCCTCCTCTGGACAACTTCCAGCTTGTCAACATCTCTCTTCAACTGTGGTGCCCAGAATTGGATACAGTATTCCAGGTGTGGTCTGACCAAGGCAGAATAGAGAGGTAGCATGACTTCCCTAGATCTAGACACTATACTCTCCTATTGATGCAGGTCAAAATCCCATTGGCTTTTTTGCCACCGCATCACATTGTTTGCTCATGTTTAACTTGTTGTCCACAAGGACTCCAAGATCTTTTTCACACGTACTGCTCTCGAGCCAGGCATCGTCCCCCATTCTGTATCTTTGCATTTCATTTTTTTTATGTCTGACTGGAGTATCTTGCATTTGTCACTGTTGAACTTCATTTTGTTAGTTTTGGCCCATCTCTCAAATCT